GTGGGGTACTCATTTGGCTCGGGGCTGGCCCAGCCCCCACCCACAATAACCACCACACCCAAACCACCCTCCTGTCTTCCTAGTTCTATCTTGTATTCACTGCCTAACTCTTTCCATCTTACATACATTTCACCACCCTACACACCACTTGCACTAATATACCACACCCACCCACACCAACCACCCAACACCACAACTCCTTTACACCTCCACCCTCCCCCCCCTCCGCTTTAACTCTTGATCTCTTTTCTCCCTCCTACCTTCTCTCTCCTCCACCCATTTTATTCTTCTATCGCATCATGTTGGTGTGTGGCGCGTTGTTTTTGTTTGTGTCGTGTTTATCTTCATATACTGTCTACTGTCTGTTTTTAGATTACTCTAGGGTTATGTTATAGTAATTCCATCACCCTCGACATACCTCCCCGACTGAGAACCTATCGTCAGATTTTCCTGAACACCCACAACACCAACACCCATCTGAGATTATCGAACACACACCATACCAGAGGGCATTTACCACCGAAGACAGACTCCCACCCGCTCCATAAACCCTACCGTATGTACACCAAGAGTTCATGATTGACATCCATTTGGATTCTTCCACGTTGTGTTCTTTATTACCTTCATTTTCGATCCTTATTTTTTTTTAACATCAAACAACCACACAACCCACAACCGACACCAGCACCACCACACAACACCCCCACGACTTCCCCGCCTCAACATCTGCATAGGCAACCTCTCTACACACTCCGGCTTTATCTGAGAACTATAGCGCTCATATGCCAAACAGCACCCCCTCACATATCACACAACACCACAACACAACCACACCACCACCAACACCCAACAAACCACCACACCCCCACACACCCACACCACCCACACACAAACACACCACACAACAAGATTACTCCCCAAAAAATATCCTCTGACGCACCACCTATCCCCCCTAATCCACTCCTACCTATATATACCTATTATACCTATCATTATACTTATTTTTACTATAGTAATATATATAACACATGTTGATACTTAGAAATGGTATATGATACAAACACCAAACAAACACCACACACACAAACAATCTCTTCTCTCTCTCTCTATACTCTCTCCCTCTCTCTCTCTATCGCACTCTCACTCTCTATCTCTCTCTATCTCTCGTCTCTCTCTCTCTGAGGCTCGCCGCCCGCAGTTAGCGATAGGATACCCAGTTGTCCCCCCACTCCCTCTCCGCCCGCAAGCCAAGCAACTCAGCAAACCATGCCGTCAATGGTCCCACAAAGGAGAGGGCCAACCGGATACACCCTCACAGGGGTCGAAAGGGGGGCCATGACAGGGGGCTTCCACGGTGCTAAACCTCGGGCAGCTAGCTCGCGCTCTCTTCCCAGAGTGAGGGGAACTCTGGCCCAGGGTATCGTGCCCCTCCCAGGGTCACGGGCCTCCAACAAGGACGGGCCCCACCGGCCCGCCGGGTCAAAGCTGCCCCTCCGCCGGTTAATGGGACCCTCGACAGCGGGGTCAAGGCTGCCCCTCGGCCGGGTACAGGGCCATTAGCAACCCTGACAACCCTCCAGTGAAAACAGTGATCCAGTGCAAACAGTGACGACATCGTAACAGTGATACAAACCACCAAAAAGCAGGTATCAATAGGCAACACAACTAGTGCTGAACACCATCCTTGGCTTATCGCAACAAAAGCGAGCAGGGCAAGGATCGGTGCTTGTGCGACATATAAAGAAGCTGTACGACTGAAGAAATAAATCAAGGATCACACACATCATTTTAGACAACATTCGGAATCTAGAAAACCAAGGAACACGACACGTGACCTCAAAAGGATGATAATGGCCATCGGATGACCCTGATTGACCAGTGTTTGAATAATGACAAATTAGTGTTCGAAACGACAACAACAAAACATTCAACTACAGATTGGTACAACGAAAAAACCACACCTTTGTAAAAATTTTTCCACAAATCAGTCACAAGGCTCCCCGACAACACAACGAGCCAGTATCAATCCAAAGACATATCGAAAACAAAGATAGACCTTGCTGATTCGGAAAGTTCGTGACGCAGTCACCATCAACAAATTGCGGGCCAGACGTGATGCATCTCCGAAGCAGGGAATGCGAAGAGGCAGCACACTCGTGGCAGATCACCCCCTCACCCACACCCAGTACTACCTCCCTCTCATGCCCACGACCAGTCCTCTCAAACCCCTTTCCCTTTTAGATCCCCTCCTCCTGTGAGAACATCTGTACCTCCGCCCTGCAGACTTGAACACCCACAAAACCCTCCCCCCCATACAACATCTAAACCGTGCCACGCCCCACAACCACAGGGCCTACGGTCGTTGTCAAACATCACAGAACGACCGGGAAGCGCAACAAACAACCGCGCAGACATGGAATGTTTCGTCGCGTCACCTCCAGGAAAAGGGAGAAGAAAAAGCACGCGAAGGAAACGCCAACATCCTAACCACTACACGGTAGAACGTCCCAGGTAGTGTACTTATACATACTAGTTGTCACCCTGAAAGCGGAAGAAGAATAGAGCTCCTTACAAAGAATTGAAAACTACAATATAAAAGAATACAACCCAAAATGGAACACAGTATTATTCTAGATCACTGTAACCTATTAGAGGCAAAGAATAACCTGATCTCTTCACAAATTCAAAGTGTTTTCCCCAAAAATGTTAAAGTATTTTTAAACAAAAAACAAGTACAAGGCCGATCGAGTGGTTTTGACAAAATCACACACCGAGACACCGAGACACCGCTAGTCAGCAAGGACAGCGGTAAGATCAAACATGCTAAAATAGAACACATCAAACGCCCAATCTATCCTTGGTCATCTGGGGGGGGGGGGGGGGAACCGGGGGGGGAGGAAAGGAAATTAGAAATGCTTCTATTGGAGAGAAGCTTGATATAGTATTTTTTTGTTTAGTGAATCAGGCTTTACAAGATTGTCAGGATCATCAAAAATACCAAATCATGTTTTAAGATGCGATTCAGGGGTGGTGGAGGAGTCTGGCAGTTATGTACGAGTACTCTCCCAAACAAACTGAGATATCGCGACAACTGCAAGGGTGCAGATGGATGAGATATGGGTTAAGTACAAGCAATATGCTCCGTCATCATGTAGGCGCAAACTATAGGCATCCATGGTTCTCTGAATATTTTGATTTATAGAAAAAGTTTTAGAGAAATGTTCTTGAACAGAACCTCTTTGCAGATGGGTTGATTTAAAGGATGATTAAATAAACTAAGCAAAACTATATAAAGAATAGAAAACACAATTAGAACAAATAGTAAAAAACACTAAAAGGGTACAGATACATCATCATAATTGAGTAATAATAACAACAGAGTGACATCATTCACATAAAACGCATTCCATGCCCTGTTGCCGATCACGAACTCATAACAGTGACGCTAAATTAAAAGAAATCAAAAAGACCACCAGCATAAAAAGTTTCCGAGAAGTAAACAAACTACGCCCTCAGTCATTGGCAACAACAATGCCAAGGAGACCTCTTTCTTTTAGAAATATTGCTATTGAACAGATAATGTCAGACAACGGTACATGTATTACGGCGGAAGAGTGATTATGACAATAGATGCCATCGCTCATTTGTTACAAATGTTAGACGGCTCCTGCTACATGGATAAACAGCGACATCCAGAGAGGCAATAACAGATAGAAATAGCGTTCATAAAGTTCTCCAAAATGACAGGACACAAACATAGGGACTCAGCATAACTAAAACAAAAAAAGAAAAAAGTCAAATCACTTATACAAGGAGGCCAAACTGATATTTAGAAATAGGTTAACCAACTTGCACAAAAAGACTCTGCTAAAACATGGAACGCAGTTAAACACTTGTACAACCAAAAACCTACAGAGATCTCTAAACACCAGCAATTAATGCAAATGATTACGATTTTTTCGCTAAAATTGGACATCTCACAATAAAATCAAAAAACATAGCTTCCCAGTTCCGAAAGGCAGGTAGCGATAAGGCCTTTAGAAAATCTGTAAAGTAGAAACAGTAATATTAACAATACACAACTGCGTCAAAAACAAATGCTGGGGGAAGCAGATGGTATTGCTTTTCGCTTTATTCGAGACAGTTACCTGCAATAGACTACTATCTAACGGTAATATTACACATCCCTAGTCACTGGTGATTTCCATCGCTTTGGAAACATGGCATAATAACACCAGTTTTCAAATCGGCGACACAGACGAAGTCAATAACTCTCGCCCTATAACCATCTGCTACTGTCTAACGTTCTGGAAAGAAAAAAAACAATAGTTTAGCAGAAATTGGCACTATCATGGGACCAATGACATCCTATCTAATTCACAAACATGGATTCAGAGTAAATTGTCTACTGAAAAGCATTATTACGATCACAAATTAAAATCTATGAGAAACCATTCGACCTACAATCAAATAACACTTGCTAACATTGTGGATTTATCACGGCTATTGACAGTGGTAAACACGAAATCCTCCTTCGGAAATACATAATCACACGATCGATACATACTGGTTCAGCAGTTCTCTACGAAACGAAGCCCTCCGTCCCCGTTCCCGCGCGGCCCTCTCCCCCCCCCGAATCGTCTCTTCCGGTGTTCACCCGGCTCCACTAGTCGGCCCCTTTTCTTTCCAATATACGTCCCTGACTTCACCCCCATCGCCCCCTGTTCCTCTTGTTCACTACGCCGCTGCTTCCCACTTTTCTCCCCCGTGCTCCGTCCCCCCTTCAGAACTAATAAACACAGACAGGGGACCTTGCCCCACCTCCAAGGATACTTTGACACCCATGGCCTTAAGATCACTCCAGCCAACCCCCCTGGTCTCCTCGGTCGTCGCCCCATCTCCCGCCCCCCTCCTCGTACCACCCCCTCCCATTTGCAGCCCGCCCCCCTCCAACCGCGCACTCTGTTTCCCCCCAACCTAGGCGTACACATTGACCGACCATGACATTTGCGCACCCGTCGCTCCCCCTCAGCGGCCAAGTCCCTGGGCCACTACTTTACTCCGCCCCTTCCCCACCACGCTCCCCGGCCACTGGATCTCCTGTCCTCCCCCCCCTAGTTCTCCAGCTCCTTAACTTTCTTGCTCTCCTCTTGGGGCCCCCCCACCCAGCGTCCCATTCCGAACCTCCCCAACCTTCCCGACCTTGGCTGCGCGAGTGCGCGCTTGGTCCCGTCCCCAGGATGCCCCATTCCGCACCTGCCCCCCCCCTTGGCCAACGGCCATCCCACTGTCCCTCGGCACTTGCGTACTCCTTCAGCACCACTTCTCCCCCGGGTTTTTCCCATGGTCCCCCTTCTCAACCCGTCAGGCCCCCGCACTGCGTCCCAAACCAGACAGATCACTCTTCCCGCACAGCTCACGCCCAGCTCTAGGGGACCGCCCACCCCCTACACGTGGGACCTTGCTGTGGCCCCCCACATTACACATCCTCTCCCCCCCCAGCCATCTTAGCCCAATCGAATACCTTCTAACCCGCCTTCCCGCCCCCTCTCTTCACATCCCCCCTGCCTCCGTGTCACTAATACCAAGAGCAGGACTTCTACTCTCCTTCCTCTAGTGTAGATCTTTTCCATGTCCGGTGCACTCCCTTTCCTAGGTCACCGCAATACTCATGGTATCCTGGCCTCCCGTCTTTGGCCTTGGCCTTCTTTGAGTTGCCTCTCTCCTTATTCTCTTCGCGCTCTTTCTTCTCGCTCTCTTTCTCCTTCTCCTCTCTCTTCTCCCCCTCCTCCTCTTTCTCCTCCTGTCTCTCTCTCTCTCCCTCCCTCTCCCCCCCCTCCTTTCTCTTCTCTGTCTCTCTCCGGCTCTCTCTCTCTCTCTCTCTCTCTCTCTCTCCTTGTCTCTGTCCTCTCTCTCTCTCTCGCTTATCTATCTATCTAGCTAAGTACCTGTTATATATACATAGAGAGCTAAGTATATAATATCGATAGATAGACGGATAGAGATATAGAGATATATATATAGATAGAGAGATAGAGATGCATATACGGATGGAGATCGAGAGAGACATAGATAGCTAGCTGATTGTATAATATAGTAGTATAGAGAGATGCCATGTTGCTGCTTATAGAGAGACACGACATACATAATACTACAGCTATTGATCTATATTCTCTACGGATATAATAGATATAATATATATATATTATAGATAGAGATATATATATTATATAGCTACGTATTATATATATACATATATAGATAAGTATAGATATATATTAGATATATAGATGTATATCTCTATAAGATAATACGACATATTATATATATATATAGAGTATATATATATATATAATCGATATATATGAATTATATGTATGTATAGATATACAAATATGTAGTATACTATATCTATTATTATATCTATATATATATATATTATATATATAGATATATATTGGTATATATATATGTTATATATAGGGTTTCATATATATAAACACGACATGTGTGATATTTCCGTTATTAACGTTAAAAGATAGAGAAAAGTACTAAAAATAATTAGATCGACGAAGCCACTTAATTTCAAAAGCTTAGATTACAAATTACCTTCCACCGACAAGAAGCTGAGATTGCTCGAGCAGGTGCAGTTGCTTGGGCGGGTTCGTGTACACTCTTTCACTCGCTGTTCATTTCCTCCCATGTGAAGAGACTTTTTGCGTGTTAATTTTAGCTGTGTCTTGTGCTTAAATTATCTTCATTCCTTCGCTTTCCTGTTTTGTGGTGACAACACACACACACCACACACACACAAACACACACCCCCACACCCCCACACACACAACACACACCACTCACTCACTCAATCACATCCCACCCACATTCACCGGGTGGGGGGCAATCACACAACACAATGTCCGACACATCGCAAATCTACACATTACACACACACACACAACACACACACCAGATTATAATTAAACATACGTGAGTGTAGGTAACTGTATGTTTGGTGTGTATGTGTGTGGGTGTGTGTGGTTTGTGTGTGTGTAGTGATGTGTATTGTGATGATATGGTATGTGTGTGCATGTGTGTGGTGTGTGTTTATGGGTGTGTGTCGTGTGTGTACATATATATACAGTATAAAAAAATAATGTATATACACATGTGTACATATTTATAATATATATATATATAATATCTATATATATTATATCTAATATATATTATCGTATATTTTTTTTTATGATTTATTTTTTCCAACACATCATTCCACGCAAGGACATAGGCCTCTATCAATTCACTATTGAGAGGTTAATATGGCCAAGTCACTTTGCCTGCTTGAATGCCCGTCCAATCAATTCGCGGTTCGGAGCGTTAACAATTTGACCTCTCAGGCGATATGGCGTTTTCTCGGGCCGAGCAAGCAGTCAGAGCGCAGGCATTTTTGTATGACTGGCCGAGTCGGGAGAATTGAACACGGGACCACGAGGGTCGGGA